CTAATGCATCCCGAAGTTCTGGAGTTGCAGCAGGACAAGGTGGTTCTAATGCATCCCGAAGTTCTGGAGTTGCAGCAGGACAAGGTGGTTCTAATGCATCCCGAAGTTCTGGAGTTGCAGCAGGACAAGGTGGCGGTGCAGTAGCAGGAGTACCTCCCGTCTGCCGAGAGAATCAAAAACCATCCGACAAATCCGCTAAGTGTCCATCCCGAGGAGTCGAAATAGGAAGAACAAGAGAGGGCCCGTGACAGGGAAAGAAGAGAGGGAGAACATCAACCACGCGATAAAGAGTTCTGGTGACAGAGAGGAAGAAGAGATGTTGGAGATAAATAGTACACCACTTATGAAGAAGGAGCACAATTCAAAACAAAACAAAAACAGACAACGTGTAGACAAAGAAGCCGATGACAAGATACCCCAATGACTGAGGAAAATAAAGTACAGCAGTGTGGACATTGTCAGCCAAATGTAGAAAGCCTCTCTACAAAAGAAGAAGCCGCATAAGACTGACATATCCACCTCTAAACTCAACGTTAGAATAAAATACAAAACTTTAATTCTCTCAACAAGAAGTAGCCTGGGAGGAAATACAATTGAACATACAGATATGAACTAACACCTTTTTCAATGTTTTAGGAGACTTAGTGACCATCTTGTTATCAAGTAAAAAAATAAATCAACCATCATGAAAATATCAGATGTTACCCAAACATCTAAATCTGTGCATTTCCGTGGTGGTTGACATACTTGCCATGTGGTTTGTTAGTGTTTACCAAGAACCGTTGCAAATAAGTGGACTGTCCACGGTCCAAATTTGTACTACCCAAGGACACTGGAGGTCCACATAGAAGGCTCTTTCAGGAAAACACACAAACACAAACTGCTAGTTACTGATTTTGTGTTGTTAAACTTTTGTTTTAAAATTTCATTATATACAGTTTGATGGTGTGCTTGGAATGGTACAAATATATCCACATCCTTGTGTGTAAGTATGTAAGAAGCTTGGCACTTGGACTATACTCTTATAAACCCCTCATATTAACAGTACCTTAAATTCTATGATATTGAATAAATTACTGGTGATTGACAATGGGTTTTTGTTTGTATGTTTTTGTTTTGTCTTTCCTTTTCATTTGTCTTTGTTTTCTTTGGTTGTTGTTCTTGCTGGTTTTTGTTTTTGTTAGGGTTTGACCACCAAAGTAAACCAGAGTTGTTCATGACCCATAGAAAAATTGATGGATTCTGGACTCACATTTAATTCAAGTCCCAATCCAACCACAGTTAATTCTTATAACTTGGTCTTGCTCAATAATTGCCTTCATGAAAAGATCACTGAAGAGAAGGGTGCTACAGCAAAGTGTGGTGAAGATAGTAGATGGTGCCCAGCTATTAATTGGAATAGTGTCTGGGGTCTTAAAAGGTTGTATTAAAAAAAAAAAAGCAGCCATCTAAGTGAGGTGTCAACTAAGTCTACACCGAAGAAACACACCAGCCTGTGTGATCCAAAGATGATGATAACACACACCACATATGATGAAAGGAAAGGTATCAGAGCTTAAATTGTGAACACTCTTTTTGAGATGACTATGGAGAACAGTTGGAGACCAAAATCCATCTGCAGAGTATCTAGTCAGATTAAGCCTCTGGCAGATGCCCTCTGGCAGAGGGACTGTCCAGTTGTCTTGCAGGTGGGCTTTGAGTCTCCACTGTGTCCGCAATCCTTCACATCAATTTGATTGCTTGTTTTTCAACTGCTGATACCCATTCCCATCAACATCTCATGAGCACACAGGCTGGTGGGCTTCTTCTATGTAGAGCCCTCATCTTATTTATCCATTTATCCTTTGTCTGCTCCTTTCCTTACTTCTTTCCCAAGCAGTGAGAGTTGATTAAGGGCAGACTGTAGAAAAGCATAGGGGCGGGGGCGGAATGAGGACCTAATGCCGGGGGTTTAAGTGGAGAGGAAATGTTTTGAGAATGATGAGAGCAATGAATGTACAAATGTGCTTTACACAATTGATGTATGTATGGATTGTGATAAGAGTTGTATGAGCCCCTAATAAAATGATTTTAAATAAATAAAAGAAAAGCATAGGGTCTCTTCTCACCTATAGACACTTCAGGAAGCTGTTAACTGGAAGTGCTACTCGTGTCTCACTCGGGCATTTCTACTCTATGGTAGACTCTGGAGAACAGAGACTCAATGATATCAGTCAAATCTTTTCATGAGCAGAGATAGAAAACTAGACAGATACAGCATTTGTTTTGTTACGTGATTACCAAATCTCTCAGTTTACTCAAGCAGCACTTTTGCTTTTAAGGGCACAACACAGCGTGTTCTGGAGCTCTTAGATACTGTGTATATTCCAATCCATACTCATTGCTATTGAACTGATTCCAATTCATACAGAGTGGAACTGCTCATAGGGTTTCCAGTACTTTAATTTTCATGAAAGCAAACTGCTACATCTTTCTCCAGTTCGTGGGTGGGTTTGAACTACACACTTTTTGGTTAGTAGCCAAGCACTCCTTGACTGTGCCACCTTAACATGTTAAATATTTCAACAGTGTTGAGTCGTTGGGTTAAACAGATTGTCAGGGCATTCAACAGACTGAAGCACATTGCAGTGCTCGGAGAAGGAAGTACAGTATGTGGCGTTCCCCAAGTGTATTTCACTGCAGAAATTGGGATGGGGAGAATCTGGAACAACTGTGGGCCTGCAGTTTACATGCCTCACAAGAGGCTCCGTTTAAGACAGTTTTCCCTAAATGTGCTCGAAACGCCAGGCTCAAGTTTAGCAGTTGTGATAGAACTGAGGGCTTGCCAGATTGTGTTTCCTTCAGGAAATAAGCACTCAAGGTTATCAGTGCAGAAATTAAAATCATGAGGCTCTAGACACAGTGCTTCCTCATGGAGCCAATTTTTTTTAAAGTGTGTGCTGAATATCATGGGATGACAGTTTAAACAACATACATTCAGAACAGTAATAATGAACTTTGATAGACACAAGCTATGTAAACCACTCCAGATCACCGATTGGCTTTCTCTCTCTGGTTTTCAGTTCCTCTCACAGAGGTCCCATCCTGCCAACACCTCCTGCGTGCCTCCACATGGCACCATTCTTCACCAGATGGTGGACTTTGACGACTTCATCCCTCCCATCCCACCACCACCTTACTACCCGCCAGAATATACCTGCACACCCACCACCGAGGTCCACAGGTTTGTCTTCCCGGACTTCCAGGACTGAAGTTGAAGCCCTGTAGAGATAGATAAGAAACAGGCTTTGGGATAGCAGATGACTGCTATCTCAAGGTTATAGAATTGGCAATCACTGGGCTTTTGTAGGAATCCCATACCTTACTATTTTAATGCTTTTTTAAAAAAACTTTATTATGACATGTGTTAACCTCATAGGCATGGTTCTGCTTTGTGAATGAATGTTCTTGGAAGTTTTGCTCTATCACCAACCCTCATTGTCTGTGCATATAGTGTTCAGTCACTTAAAAGTTTAATCTGTACAAGTCAACAAGTCATGTATTGAGGTTCGTAGCCAACCTGAAATTGTATAATGCCTTTTTCTCAACATTGTTCTAAATTCTACAACATTGGCTAAATTAATGACACTATCAATAGAATTACCTTATGCCCCAGAAGGATGATCACTAATATTCTCTAAAACAAAATGATAATGATGTCTTAAAGTGAATCAGAGACATATATACATCATAACTATATGAATGGATTCGGGGCTCATACTTGATTCTAGCCCATATATGAGAACTATTCTTATTAAATGGTTCTGCTTGATGCTCATCCTCATGAAGAGATCACTGAGGATATATGTACTGTAGTAAAGGGTGGTAAAGAAACTAGATGGCCCCCAACTATTAGAAAGAATAACATCTTGGGTCTTAAAGGTGGATATTCAAACAAGCAGCTATTGAGTGAGGCATCCATTGGGCCCACGTGAAAGAAGCACACCAGCATGTGTGATCCAAAGATTGTGAATTATACAATCCAAACTCAGATGAAGAAATGGAGTTTAAATTGTGAACATTCAAAAAGCTATGAATGATGGTGCGAGCCCAAAATCCATTGACAGCATCCACACATAGATTAAGCCTCTTGTGACCCCCCTTTGACCCCAAAGGAGGGCTGTGAATGGCCTTGCTAGCATTCAGAGTGCAGTGAGATTGTTTTGTTTTTCTGCTTTTGGGTTTTCGTGTTTTTTTCTCTGTCTAAGAAATGCAGGATGAGCACAGCTACAGACCCAGTGACGGCATTGATGATTTGCGGGGAGGTGGGTGGCTGATGACAATAAGCATAAGAAAGAAGTAAATGTTCTAAAATTGATTGTGGAGATGATTGTACAACTCTTTTTAATATGCTTGAACTATTGAATCATATGACATGTGAAATATATACCAATAAAACTTTGTTTTTAAAGAAGCAGGCTTTGGAAGGGAGGTCAGCAGCTGAAGTAGCCTCATTGCTGTTTTAGTGGAAAAGTCACGCAGATGAGAAAGCGTGTCTTATGGAAGCGTAGAGAGTGACCGTGAAAGGAGAAATGGGCTAGGACATCTTGGTTGATATGTTTGCATTATCATGAAAGAGAAAATCTAGCACAGCAAAAATAATTCTAGTATGATCAAATGAAATCTAGAACTGCTATCAGAGTATAGTCATTAATGCAGCATGTAACTTTTAATGACAGGACCATAGAGTTCAAACTTTTCATGTGTTTACAGAAAAAGCAAAAACAAGAATCAAACCTGCCAAGTGAATTAGGCTGTTATTTCACAAATGTGACAGTGTGTTATGAGGGGACATCTGGCTGGCATGTTCTGAGGATTCTCTAGTGTCCCTAACACAGACTCTGCTTCCTCTGAGGACCGTGCATGCTTCTGCCTTTTCAGGGACCTGCACCTGGACTTTGCTTCTTCTCCCTTCAGCGCCTTGTATGCTGTCACCATCAACAGCCCTGGCCTGCTCTATCCTGCTGAGCTCCCTCCACCCTATGAGGCTGTGGTGGGCCAGAGCCTGGCTAATCAGGTGAGGTTGGTCCTCCGACAAAATGGAATCCCAGGCTGTGCTGGAGATCTTCCAGGCTTAGCCCTGCAGCAGTCCAACACCCAGTGTGATGCACACCAGGGCTGCTTTATAAGAGACCTGCTGTGTGCTGGTGCTGGCACACCTTATCTGTATTGTCAGCAACCTGTGGGATACCGCTCTGCACTGGTGCTGGGGTACCTGTCTGCACTATCAGAGCCCTGTGGGATACCATTCTTCCTGGCCTTATGGTGTAATATAGCCACCAGGCACAAAGTATGCCCAGGAAGCAGCCTTGGTAAATAGGCAGCAGGGATGCCAGCCTGGCCATGGAACCCAAATAGGGATGCTTTTCCCCTAGGCGACTGGCTCAGCTCCTGTGACCTGCCTCCTAACTTAGCTGTATCTGAATTCAATACTAGCCGATGTGCCTAGAGCACATGAAGGTGTGGGTTCTCAGCAAGGGCAGAGACCCATGAAATGGGTCTCAGTACATAGACATCCAACTGTAGTACCCAGGGCTCTCTGGATTCAAGAAGAATCTTCTCAGCTACCATCTACTGGGGAGGTAAGAAAGCAGTTCCAATCCCTCAACGTTGCCTGGACCAGGAGGCTCCTTAGCACCTAGGCTTACCTTCTCAAAATTGGGTATTGCCAGGAATCCTCACAGCTCATTAACCAACATTCAGTATGAGTTCATGGATTCTCAATTTCCTCGTCTGTAAAATGGTTATCAAAATAGGACCAAGCCTTTAGGATTACATGAGTTGATTTCTCCCATATAAGGTCAGTAGCCTTTTTTAGTATTGTTATCGTCATAGTCATCATCATATATCAAATTACACCAGGAGACATGAGTACCTAGCAGGTACTCAACAGGGAGAGTTCTGACATCGATTGGAAGTTCGGGGGAGCAGTCTGTGTTAAGGCAGCAGGGTTGGAGTAGTGCAGGGAGCTCGGGAAATTTATGGCCAGAGTGGGCCCCAAACATTGAGCCGACGAATGTGGATAGAACTCATTAGGAGGCTTCGAAGATTACAGGTTTAATACTGTGTAGTTTACGGACCCAAATAACAGTCTCTCCCCTGAGTTTTCCAGAAGGCAGGGGAGCTCTCCAAGCAGGTGGACAGGTTCTAACCCCAATTAACAGACTTGTCTGACACTCCCCCATATGGAGTGCAGATAAATTGAAACCAGGCTGACTCTTCACAACAAGGAGGGATGGGGCTGTGCCATCCCATAGTGTAATTCCAGCTGTGTGCCAAGATAGAGTTTACATTATAGTTATGCTCACAAGGCACCAACTAGCTTGGTAGCTTGGGAACAGCCATCTTGGGAAGAAAAGCATGGTACCTTCTACCGATTGGGCAGTGTGAACAAATTCTTGTATACTCAGGCAGCAAAAACCAAACACGTGCTACTAAGCCTATTGGCTGTTAGCCTCCAAGCACTGTAGGGGAAATCCCTGCAATAAGAATGCCCCTCCTTCTGGGGTACAAAATGGCCCCTTATACCCATGTTCCCCACCACGTACTCTCCTAAATTCTCTCTCCTACCTCTCCTAGACATCTTGAAGACTCCAAGGCTTTTCAAAGTGGGGGCCTGGAGAAAAGGCAAAGCAGTTGGAAGATGGTAGGAATGTAGATTCTTGGCACACAGCCCAGTTACTACCAACACCGTACACTACTAACTCAGACACTCTGAGAGAAGCCCAGAAACCCACATTTGGACATTCCACCTGCAATTCCGATGTGCACTGGAAGAAAAGCCCACATGTCTATATTTTCGTCTTTACTTCCTCACCCCACGATCTGAGTGCCATCGCCATTGGAGAAGTGGTCACAGGGCGCCCCACATTTGTATTTCCTTTCTCTGGGAAGGAGGCAGAATCTGGCGATGACGGGTCCTCTGCAGCCCTGGGAGAGACCACTCCCACTTATAGCCTGGTTCTCTTTGACTTGGTGGCTCTCTGGCATTTTCAATCCCACAGACACCTCTAAGCATCAGTAAAATCCATTACCTTCCACTTACAGAAGGCTACACCACCACTGCTCTGCCCAACCTGGAAAGAACGTGGACAGTGATAGCAAGCAACAGTCCCTTGTGTGCCATAACCACTCTCCTTGGAGAATAAGGGGCTAATTGCTTCCCCTTCAGACAAATGGCATATAAATGACCTATCAGCGCTCTTTTGGGGAAAGAGGGAAGATAGACTGACAGGATAGCAGTAAGACAGGTTTTGCACACTCGGTATACAGGGTCTGGAGCTGCCAGTCATCAGAAAGACTTGTAAGCTAGAAGAACGAAAGCATGCCTTTGGGAGGATGCTCATTTGCACCCCTTCTCCAGTGCGAACTAACCGCAGCAAAGTTGCATTCCGACCCAGCGCGCAATGCTGTCAGCCTCCCCACTGTTTGAGATTCTACTTTCAGTCACATGGTGAGGAGAGGGGTTCTTTCTCTAGAAGGACAGTTCATTAGCATTGGAAGTGTGACATTCCTGTTTGGATAGCTGCCTTTGCTCCGGTGACCATTGGCCTGTGTTGTACTCAGTGGACCAGAGAAGAGTAAACGGACTAGAAAACCCTCCGTTTGGGAACTGACAGTCCATGTGTGTCAGAGGAGAACTGTGTTCCTACGGTTTTCAATGGTTGATTGTTCAGAAAATCACCAGGCTTTTCTTCTGAAAACTTCAGAGTGGACTTGAACCCCTAAACTTTTCATTAGCAGCCAACGACAGCCATTCGTACCACCCAGGGACTTGAGGAGTGGTGCTGGTACCAATCAAGTGCTTTGGGGTTTCCGCAGAGGAATGGAGCTCAGGGCTTGGGTAGGCCTGGGAGTCAGATACACAGCCTAGCTGAGGTGGAGTGTGTGGTGCTTTGGTGTTAGAACTCAAGGTGCATGAAGGCGATTCATAAATAGTTAGGGTCAAATTATATAATTTTGGGTCCCTTTGAAGAGATTGGATTTGTGGTTGACAGGATTCAATGGTGCACTAAGAAACTTAATGTGGTGGCAACATGGTGGTGGAAGGGCAACTAGATACCAGGAGACCAGGATCAGAGAACTCCAGCAGACATGGCAGCAAGCAGGCTAACCCAGAAGGCTCAAAGTGATTGCTTATATTTTCCAATTTTATATTATAAAATTTATAAATAAGGACCTTCAAAGGTTGCCTTGAAATATTCTCCTAAATCTTACTTCACATTTTTATAATTGCTAGTTATAACTCTGAAGTAATAGCTCTTTTAAAATCTAGTCCTGGATGACTGATCTCCATCTAATCATGGAAACAGGGCATAATTTACATACACTGTACCCTAGCCATGGAGATTCATAAAAGGAAGGAGAATGTAAGAAAATTGGTTTATTTGCTTAAATACTGTGTTACACAGGCTTCTCTAGAGAAACAAAACCAGAATGCTAATAATTTTATATCTATTTATATATATGTTTATATATGATTTTATATATATTTATTTTTCAATTGATTTTCAATGATGATGACTAGTTAAAAAAATCCTATCTGAGGATACGTTTGTGTGAGACCTTGAATGTTCTTAATTATTCCTGGGTCTCTCCCCTAGACCAGCCCCTGGTCATTGCTGCTTCTGAAGGAGTTATGTATGCCGATCTTCACTGATAACCTTACCCATTCATTGATATTTTAGGTGACACATACATTTCCTATACATCCTTTCCTACTTCCATGTAGTAAATTAAAAATGCTGTCTTAACCAAAGCATTTTCCCGGAAGCTTCAGTGTAGTAAAATGGCTTTTTATACCCTAGAAGGCCAGATTCCGATGAAACCCCAGGCACTCAATAGACATGCTCCCTGGTGCTGCCTTCTCTCAAATCACATTCTGCTATCTAACAGAAGCCAGAGTGGTGCAAACCATGAGCTAAATCTCAGTCCCTCCTGACTTTGTCCCAAGATAAATTTCATTTCTCTTGCTTATTTATACTTCTTTATTAGCAAGGTGTTTTTAAGCAACAGTTTTCATAGTTGCCGCCCATCCCTGCCAAAATTAAACCAAGTAGAAATTAGATAAAAGAAGAGATATAAAAAGAAGCAGACACTTTTGTGTGTAATATTTTGCAGAAAATTCTTGGTATATTGCATATACCCATAGTGACTCCAGAGGAGAGAAAGCAAGGGTGGTGGAGATGCTAATTCTTCCTCACCCAGTCTCTCTTTTGAAAAGGATGTTGGGGAAGAACCCCTGTGGTGGATAATTAGTATGAGGATGCCATTCTGAATAACATATATTGTACCCAAGACAAATCTAGTGGGTCTCTTGTCCACTGACAGCTCTCTGAATCCATTGTGGGGACTCCCTCGGAGTCCCTGTAGCATCTGTATAGACTGACTTGGTGTCAGTGGAACGATGCATCCTTGTGCACCTGCAGCTATGAACAAGCCAGGTTAAGAGGACAGATGAATAGCCAGCTCTCTGATTGAAATGGGGAGACCCAGGGAGGCGCCATGTAATGATCTAAACTGGAATTAGACTAAGCTGCAAGACTCTCTACACCTCTCAGCTTCCTCTAGAGTTCATTGTTTCTAAGCATGTCTTCAAAGTAATCCTGAATAACATGAAGGTGCAAAAACATATATTTATATGAG